GAGCGGACCCTGACCATTGTTCTGGCCCCGGTTGGCACCTGCACATAGCCTGCTACTTGTTTCTGCTCCGATTTCTCCTCCCAGTCTCTTTGTTCCTTTGTAAAGCCCGTGTTAAAGTCTTGTTTGTGGCCTAAACATCCAAGGTTTTCAGCCTGGTCGGAGGCAGAGGCTGGTTGACACTTGGACTTCGTCAGGGTAGCTCCCTGCAATTCAAGCGTTCAGTGCGAGGCTGGCAAAGGTTTGCAAGAGTCTGTTTCCAAAGCAATTACCAGGTCACCAAGTGTTGACATTTCCCAACTTCGAAAATACCTCCAGTTCCTGTGATCACTCCAACACTCTGGTTAGATATGTTTTGCACAGGTTCCACGCCTAGAACCTTAAAATATGGTGCAGAATGTTTTGTTCCGCATCAGTTACCAGGAGGCAAGTCTCTTTTAAATGGTCCGGTCAGTGATTGCGGAGTGCCGTATGTCAGTATGGATTGAAGGCATACTTTAAGACAGATCGCTTTTAGATCATTTTCTTAAATATAAATATCCCAACAATTCAAATTTTTGTTTTTTCTGTAGTTTCATGATCTATAACACCTTACAAAAAAGCATGAAAGTGGAAGTTCTTCAAACGAAAATAGTAACCACCACCTGGGTTAATCTCAAAAAAAGGATAGCTGTCAAAATCTGAAAATATTTTGAAAATTGTATTACATATTCTGAACTCGTGCCCCGCCCTTCATATATTCATGTCTTTGGAGCCAGTTATTCTAAAAGTAATCAATCTTTAGAGGGAAAGTTTATTCATTCTTAAATTTACAGCATGTAAAATATTTATCTTATTTTTCCTCTGAATTTACTGCATCCAGCATTGTAAGGACCAACTGTGTAGTTTCTTTTTTTTCTTTGGGGCTACAATGTTTAAAAAAAAACAAATTAAGGCAAAATAAAAGAAGGTAATTGAGACTGGTAACAGCAGAATTACTGATGTATGCTTTTTATTGTTTTCCATTGACCTTGTTGTTCATCTCATTTACTTATAATTGCCAGTCCTTATAGTTGAGTTCTTTTTTGTGTTCTTGTTTAAGGGGATTTTTGCCCAAATCAAAATACTCAATTTAGAAACATGACTATAAGGAATTTACTGTCACAGGCATCACTAGCAATTAATTTATTTTAGATCACCCAGACTTGAAACATATCGATCCTGTGGTTTTAAAACATTGTCACACAGCAGCTGCAACCTACATACTAGAGGCGGGAAAGCAAAGAGCTGACAAATCAACTCTAAGGTACAGGATTTATTTAAATATCCATTTGTTTTCAAATAGTACCTTTAAGATTCCAATTTCAGTTTTTAAAGTGGACGCTAAACTTTGACTTTTTTCCCCCCTCCTTTAGCACTTATCTAGAAGACTGTAAATTTGATAGAGAGCGAATAGAACTGTTTTGCACGGAATATCAGGTTACTTATTTAAAGTTTTTTAAATTAGCAATTACTATTTTTCTTCTCTTTGCAAAGATGTGTTTTCTTTCTTTCTCCCCCCCCCCTCCAGAATAATAAGAATACCCTAGAAATCCTACTGGGAAGGTAGGTACTGTCTTAAGGTGTCAAGCTGAGCCACTTTTCACTTGCAGGTATGAATGGAGAGTGCTGGTGTGAAACAAAACAGGGCAAAAAGACAGGGATCTTGACCAAAAGAAAAGGGGCCAAAGGGCAAGTGAAACAATTGAAGTTAAGCTAATGTTTTTAAAGATAAAGTTTATTGAGATGATCTTTAAAATGCTCTTTTATTCTTCAGAACTTGAAAATAAAGTTTAACAATGTTTTAAATTCAGAGTAAATTGAAATTGTGTATGTATGTGGCGGGGGGGGGGGGGGGGGGGGAGGTAGATACCATTCTTGGTAGAAATAAACACTGAAAGTTTCTATGTAGATATTATGTACAAAATTATCATTGTATTTTTTAGTATAGGCAGATCTCTTCCACATATAACTGATGTTTCTTGGCGTTTGGAATATCAGATAAAGGTAAAGTTTAATGAACTGTTCTCTAGGGGGATTTAGGGAACTTAAAAAAAATAGAGTTAAAAACTGAATTTATGTATTGTGTTGTTTTAGACCAATCAACTTCATAAGATGTACAGACCTGCATATTTGGTGACCTTAAATGTAGAGGTATTTACAGATAAGCCTTGTCTAAAATTTAAATGTGAAATCAAATTTTAAAAGTCCTTGATTTACATAAACAGCATTTTTTTCTCTTCCCTAGAACACTGATTCCCGATCCCACCCAGAGATTAGTTTTAGTTGCAACATGGAACAATTACAGGTACAGTATTAGGATCTGTGAATATACCTATCTGTTTATAGATGTTTAATTGAGAATTATGCTCATGGAAAGTTCAAAAGAAAAATTATCTAACCATCTGCCAGTAGATAGTGAAGGATTTAATGGGAAAACGCTTCAAAAGCAGTATTTTAAAGTAGGCTTCACTTTTGAACTTAAGATGTTACAAAGAATTGGTTTTGTATTTGCTGTTCCCTCTGATTAAGACAGATTTCTGAATTGTAGTACTGAGTGTAAATTCCTTCTATTTGTGATTGGTTTGCTCCAGTAGGACGAAGCAAAATCAAGAACATGTCTTTGAAAATATCTTCTTTGCTTTTGGAAGTTGAATTAAACTTTCAAACAGGATTTTCAAACATTTTTAAGTGACTTTTTAAAAAGGAGGAAGTATACATAAATTCTAAAACTATATTGTCAGTGTAAGACTAGAAAAATTCAAAACTACATTGATTAGTGGACATGATAACGAATTTATTTCTTACCACTTAAAAAAATGAAGACCATTACTTGAAATTTTGATGAATTTTGAATTTGTCAAAAGGCATCTCCTGTGGAGTTGCTTTAATGTAACCATTGATCAAACTAAACTTTCAGAAAGTGTGGATACAGCATTATTTTTGTTAGATAACTTGAGAAGTTTAGTTTTGACGTACCTTGCCTATTAAGAGGATTCGGTTGGAAATCATATTTCAAATCTGAGGGCAAGTAGTCCACTTGAAAAAAGAAATATTTTAGAGGAAAACCTTCTTTGGATCGATAGTGGTTTGTCAAAGACTGAAATCCTCGAGAATTTTAAACTCGTTTAGAAAGCGCCCGACTTTTTTCTTGCACCTTTCTCAAACTTGGATACTTCTGTCTTGTGTTTTATCCTAAAAACGTGGCATTATAAACGTCTTTTAGGACTTAGTGGGGAAACTTAAAGATGCTTCGAAAAGTCTGGAAAGAGCAACTCAGTTGTAACTTGGGGAAGTTAACGATCCGCCCGGGTCTAGAGGAAGATCAGGAACGCCTTGTCGTCGGCCGAACCACCGTTTGTTGAGAGCTGGATGTCCTCCTCTTGAGTAGAAAAAATATTTCCCTTTTGGATTTATGCCGCTCATCAGTTTTGACACTTTATTTTTTTACACTTGTAAAAGAGTTGAGGGAAATTCTGCCTGAGTATTTCAGACGTCTTTAGTATAAACTGTACATTGATCCCATTTTGGTCTTTTTCAAGTCTTACAAAAGGAAGTAGACAGTATTACATTCTGAATAAATAAGTTGTTCCCACAAAAAGAGTGGTGAGAGTTTGTTTGGATTTGAGTTCGTGTGTTAATTATTACTTTGAAGACATACATGCGATCAGCGTTAACTTTTAACGATCGCCTGCTCTCTTGGGATGAAAGTTAAACGCAGTGGGAAAGGATGCGATCCCCGGGGCTTGTTGAAGACCCCAGCCCCGGGACTTGGGGAGCGGACGTGGACGTGGCCGCCCCGCGGCGGGCGCCGGCCGGTCCCGTTACCTGCGCCGGGGGATGGGGGGGGGTGAGGGCGGGGGCGGGGGCTCGCCCGCAGCGGGACCCTCGCCCGCGGGGCTCCCGAGGCCCGGCCCGGCCAGCCCCCGCGCGGAGCCCCTGCCCGGAGCGAGCCCCTGCCCGCGCGCGCCCCGCCTCGGCCGCCAGCGGGCGGGGAAGGGGGCTGGCGCGGCCGCGGGAAAACAGGGGCGGGCGCTGTTGTTTCCGCGAGCCCAACTCGGGCGCAGGTTCCGCGCCGCGGCGCCGGAGCCTGGGCCGCAGCCCGTGGGGCTGGCGGGGCCGAGGCGGGGGCGGTGGCCCGGCGCTCTCCTTGGCGGGAGCCAGTGGACGTGTGCGCCGCGGGCGGAGGCGGGCGGCGGAAAGAAAGAAATAACGGGGGGCGGGGTGGGCTGAGCTGTGTGCGGGGCCGGAGCGATGCCCGCGCCGAGAGCAGGGTGGCGCGTGTGGCGCTGTGGAGAAATGTCTCCGCAGCCGCGCCAGCGCCGCCGCCGCCGCCGCCGCCGCCGCCGCCGCCGCCGCCGCGCAGAGCGAGGGGGAGGGGGCCGGGTCGCGCTGCTCGGAGGGGAGGGGGCGGCCGCGGGCCCGACTACACCGACACTAATTCCCAGGCCGCCCTTAAGGAATGAGGGGAGCACGTGACCCGGTGGGGGGGCGGCGGGGGGAGGGGGCGGGCGGACTCTGAGCCATTTTGGAGCCGGTGTCAGTTTCCACTCTGCCTTCAGCGGTGCATTTTTTTTCCACCCTCCCCTCCCCCCTCCTCATCCTTCCTCCCCTCCCCCCGCCTCTCCGCACGCACACACACGGCGCCCCCCACTCGCCCTCCTCTCCCCCCCCACGGCAACTATGAAATAATAATCGTAGTATTAAAGGCAGAGATCGGGGCGAGACAATGGGGATGTTGGCGAGGGAGCCCCGATCCGGATTAGAAACACCTCCCAGCCCCGCAGAATAATACTGATCGCGCCCCCTCCGCGCGCTCCCTCCCCCGAGTGCGGAGCGGGAGGAGGCGGCAGCGGCCGAGGAGGAGGAGGAGGAGGAGGAGGAGGAGGAGGCCCAGGAGGAGGAGGCGTTGGAGGCCGAGGAGGAGGAGGAGGAGGAGGAGGAGGAGGCCGAGGCGGAGGAGGAGGAGGAGGCCGAGGCGGAGGAGGAGGAGGAGGAGGCCGGGCTCGGGAGGCAGCATGAGCCGAGCGCGGCGGCCGCGGCTCCTCTCGGCTGCGCTCGTTGCCCATTGACAGCGGCGTCTGCAGCTCGCTTCAAGATGGCCGCTTGGCTCACATTCATTTTCTGCTGAACGACTTTTAACTTTCATTGTCTTTTCCGCCCGCTTCGATCGCCTCTCGCCGGCTGCTTTTTCCGGGTACGTAGGAGGCGAGGCGCCTCCGGGACGGGGCTGGGGGGCGGCGGGGGCCGCTCGGGGCCCGGGCCGGCCGCGGGTGGACGGGGAGCGGCCCCCCCGCGCCTCTCCCGCGCCGGCCGGGAGGGCGCTGACAGCGTGGGCGCCGAGCCCCGCGCCGCCGCCCGCCGCCCGCCGCCGCCCGCCGCCGCCGCCGCCGCCGCCCGCCGCCCCGCGCGCCGCCCGGCCCCGCGCGCCGCCCGCGCCCCCGCGCGCGCGCCCGCCGCCGCCCGCCGACTCCCGCGGCGCCGGGACCGACCCGCAGCCCGCGCCGCGCCGCCGCCGCCGCCGCCGCCGCCGCCGCCGCCGCCGCCAGCCGGGCTCGGCGCCGCTCCAGCCGCCGCCCGCTCAGCCCCGGACGCGCCGCGCGCGGCCCCACGTTTTAGTTCCTTTCTCCCCCGAGCGCCCCTCTACACCCTCGCGACGCACATGGCCCCCGAGAAGAACTCTTCTATTTCCAGCCTCCGCGGCTCGCCCCGCCACGGCGCCCTTTGTTGAGAGGTAGATTTTGATGAAACGGGGACGGGTTCCTGAAATCGGGAGCTGCTCGGGTCAAGTGGCTTCCCTCTTCTCCCGAAGAAAAGGCTTTTGAGGGGTTTAAACGTCCAGAGAACGCCCTCATTTTATAGGGACGGGTTACGTGGGGGGCAGCGATCCCGCCGAGGTGGATGTTAAACTGGAAAGAGCCCAAACAAAAATGTTATTAACTTAAGTTGGAGGGACACTTGTGTGAAAGTGGATGGCTTGTAAGATGGCGGTTCCCAGTTGTTTCCAAGGTCTCCTGCATTTGTCTTTAAAATGGTAAAGTTTTCAAGGTGTTATTTGTTGGGAGTCTTAGGTAACTTCTCCAAACGTTACTTGGGACGTGCGCCCTGGGAGGTGGGCATTTCAAATTTGGAGCTTTTTTTGCAGTGATGGTGGTGACTGGACGTCACTCCTGCAAGAGGTTTCCCCTTTCTTCCCCCCCATTCTTTTTCTCTTCTGTTTTTCCTCCTCGGTGGCTGCAATTTTTCTCTCAACCTCTACTAGGGGATGCACTTAGAACCATGACTTAAGCCCACTACGTTTTATGGGTTTTGCTAAATGTCAGCATAGGTCATGTGGTGAAGAGATGCTTTGGAAAAGGAGCTCTAAAAAGTTGACTACGTGGGTTTACACAGTCTTTTGGGTTTGACAGCGATATAGCATGATCTTTTCCCCCAGAAATTTACAGTTAATGATTGGAAGTAAACAGGGAGAGAGACTTTGATCATTCCCAATTGCAATAAAAGGATTTAGTGGGCTTAGTGGTCACGGTCCAATATTTGAAAGAGAAGCATGCATTTAACCCCTTTTCTTTTAAAGTAGGCAAAATTCTGGGCATATTTATCCAAGTGTAGGTTGGTGGTAACCTAGAATGTTATGAGTACTTTAACGTCTATTTTATAGGGGCCGTAACCCCCGAGTTCTGAAAACACATCACAAGCTACAAGGAAGAGTTGGAAGTTAAGGATGCAGATTGTTGACAGTATATACTAACTTATGTGACTATGTTAACAATTTGACTTTTATTTTAAGTAGATTGAGCAGAACCCCTTAGAGATTGATCTTGTGAGCAGATTTACAAACTTCTTAATATTTGAGTTCATTCCCATTCATTTGCCCCAAAGGGCGGAGGGGTTTGAAATAGCCTACCTGTGCAAATTATATGCCTAGTAACAGCATCTTTAAATCCAAGCTGTGTAAATCCCAACTGTGTATGCATGTGTGTACATGTGATGTATGCTTTTGTAAGAAAATTGAGCATTTAGTTGTACTTGATAAATCCATTAGTACTCTACCTCCAAGTTCTGGGATGTGCATTAAGGTACCCAACTAGGCTAAATTCTCCCTAGGAGTCAAGTTAACCCAAACTTTGCCCATACTTCTGCTGGGCTGTGAACCCCAATTGGGGTTACAGAGCTCATTTGCATTTCTTAGATTGCAGTAGTCAAGCTGATTGTTAACATAAGAACTTTCTTCTGTTTTGCTTCATTTTGACGTTACTGGTGTTAGGCCTCCCAACTAAACTGACAGCCCCGAGTATATTATAATGACAAGTTTTAACTATTGAGTATTTTTACTATGGTACGTTTGGTGCAGTTTTACTTGCCTACCTGGCAGTTTCTGTGTTGGAACCTGGAAGGCTTTCATTTGTAAGGTGCAAGAAGAGATTGTTTCTTAAATCTATCAAGCATGGCAAACGTTTTGGAAGTCATCCTTAGGTTGCCAGGACTTTCAAGTGGTACAAAAAGGTAAATAACTGATTTTTATGTAAGTAACAAGGTGATAGTGATGTTTACCAGCATTATAAATGGTAATAGGACTGTGGCCAAATTCTTCAGAACTGAGGTTGAAGAGTTGTGTGAACTAAGACTTAAGATGAATTTGAAAGACAAGTACTTGTGACTTAAACGTTAAAAGCCAACCAGTAGACTACCTTCCACTGAGGTTTGACCTGTGTTTTAGTATTTGGTGTTTTCTGTAGAGTAAGAAAGGCAGCTATTCTTACTGAAGTCCCTTCCTAAACTTCATGTGCGGTGGCTTTAGTGTGATATGCTTTCACAAGGAGACATAAGTACCACCTTGCTATCTTTCTAGGAAAGGTCCTGTGGTTTCACAAGGAGAGTTTTCTTTAAGAATTAACGTTTGTCTTTAACCAACCACAGTGGATTTAAATACTGCTACTTTTTAGAGACAGTGCTCCACCCACAACTCCTCTGCAACTCCACTTAGATTTATTTTAACAATATGTTGACAATAGTCTTGTAATCAAGTAATCCAAAGGTAACTGAAGAATCACATTTGAAGTTTTCTGGTTGAAGTTGCCAGTTGCCACTGTGATCACTTTCATAAAAGAGACTTTGTTTTGTTTTTGCCGTTCTCTAGTACTCTAAAGCGGTTGGTTTAAGCCATTGAGGTATGTTGATTGATATTTCCTTCTTCTGCATTAAAATTGCCTAAGAATTAAAAAACCTCAGATGCATCTTCAAGTTTCACAGGTTCCTAGATGTCTATTCAAAGCGGCTTTGAGAATGTACTTCAGTCTGGTCTAGAAGCTTGGTCCTATTTTAGGTTCTGAAATGAATGAAGTGGGGGTAAGAAATATATTTTTCAAGAGTACTGCACGAAATAATTGACTTCCCTTGATTGTCCGCTGGTGTATTCTTGCTGACAGTTCCCCACCGTGACTTTTCTATCATATATGGTATCTATTGGGAATATTATTCCATCGTGTGGGGATTTGAATGGAGGTTAGGTTGAGAAAATGACATTTGTTTTTGTCTCCTATCGTTGCTCTGGGTTGACAAGGTGTTGATTTAGCGTTGGGAATGGGCTGTTCACATGGCTCTTTACATATTGTCACTACGTACCGATTAAAGTAGTTTGTCTCGCCTCCAGCATAGTTCAAATAAAACACACGGCTTTGCCCCTTCCTTGTCTTCTTGTAAAACAGATTTTACTTTTTAGCCTTAGCAAAACTTTCTATCGCTCATCTAATCTGCAGGAGAACTTCTTATTAGAGAAGAAAGCTTTAAAGAGGTTCAGTTCAATAAACATCTCTGCAATTTGAGCCCTGACGGTTTCGGGCTAAGTGCACACTTGGCAATTCTCAAAAGATCCCTTCGTGAAATTTTTGACTTAGTGATTGCTAACAGGAGAGATAGAGTCAAGATCTGAAAGAAGCTCTTCGCACCGAGTCGACTTGGAAAGAGGCCCCCAAGAGTGTCCGAAATGGCCGGGAGTGCGGTTTGCATTTTCCTTTCGCGCTCGCTTGCTCCGGGCCCCCCAGGCTGGCCGCCGGCCGGGATCCTGCTCCCCAGCGCCGCGGGCCTCGTGGGGCTGCCCCACCCCCGAGCCGCGCCGCCCGCCCGCACCCCACCCCGCCCCCGCGCCGGCCCCGCCCCCGCGCCTCGCCGGCCCCTCCCCCGCGCCCGCCGCCGCCGCCCCGCCGCCCCGCCGCCCCGCACGCCCGCCGGAGCTCCGGGCTCGGCCGGGCTTCGCGCGGAGTTGCAGCGGTGGCCGGATGCCAAGTGTAAGTGTAAGTTGCTATGGAAACCCCTACAGAGGCGAGTTCCGAATCCGGAGCGAGACGGAGCCCGGGGCGCCGCCGGATCCGCCCCTCGCATCCCGGCCCCCGGCGTCCGCGCGCTCAGGCCCCAGCCCGAGGCCGACTGGAGGTGCTCCTGCGGCCCCAGCACCCAGCTCCGGAAATGCCAGGGATGCAGATAGGGCAGAATTTGTTTTCCCTTTGTATCGCGTGAAAACGTGCCAGGTTCTGGTTGCTGGAACCGCCTAAAACAACAGGAACCCCTGGGAAGCCAGGGCATGCTCCCGGATTTTCGATTGAAGATCCATAAGGAAGTTTTACAGTAAATTTGGAGACCTGGGACAAGCCCTGGCGGTTGGTAAATATCTACGGGGACTTGTGGCGTCTGCAGCAGCCCTGGGGCTGCTAGGCAAGAGGACAAATGGAAGAAAGAGACCCGAATACTCTCAGCTCCCAGCCCCCACCCCAGACCTTTTCTTCTCCCTCCTGGAATGACCTGAGGGACCAGAAGTTACTTTAGTTGAATCCTTTTTTGTCATTTCAGTATAATTGATTCAGATCTGATTAGTAAATTCCTTCTGTAGAAAACGTTGGGACAGTCCAGCTGTACAGTGTTAAACGAGTTTTATGAACTCTTCAGCATTTCAGAGTGTTGGGTTACTAGAAGTTGGGAGATAATCTCGTTTCTCTTTCTGTGGATTATAGCCAATATTTCTGTGTCTTGCAGGATATTTTATCAAGCAGAAATGCATCGAACAACCAGAATCAAGATCACTGAGCTAAATCCCCACCTAATGTGTGTGCTTTGTGGAGGGTACTTCATTGATGCCACAACCATAATAGAATGTCTACATTCCTGTAAGTACATAGTTTTAGACTCTTTTATTGTGTCATTTATATTTCACATGTCTTTCACATTGAAACTACTAACAATTCCCACAATCCTTGAGAATGTTGGTACAAAAGTGATGGAGTTATTTTCTACTCTTGCATTTGGTGAATTTTTGTTAATGCGTATTTTAAGCGTATAAGTATGCAACAGATGAGTGTTCTCAGGATGTTAATTGAATTAGCTTAGTTAATTGGAAATCCCTTTTGGCATTTACTATTTTGTTACCACTGGTTCTCCATTTTTGACACTAATTTCAATGCTTAATATCTAATTTCTAAACTTATGAAACTTTGTTTTTCTACTTCCAGTCTGTAAAACATGTATTGTGCGTTACTTGGAGACCAGCAAGTATTGTCCTATCTGTGATGTCCAAGTTCACAAAACCAGACCACTTCTGAATATAAGGTAAGAAAAGGTTTAGAATTATTGTTTCTAATTGTTATTGGAATGGCATAATTTAGTAAAGGCTACCCTGTTTTATTTTTCACACAAAACTTACTGTTGAATACCCACCTGGTGTGTATGTTTTGTAGAGGTTGCTTTTCATTTCTTCCCATTTTAATTTGACTAACTGCAAAATTTGGTATTATTGAAGTGGATTTTAAGAGTTTTTTTTAAAACCATCTTTTTTAAAACCTGAATTAGTTCTGCATTTCTGCATTGCTTTATTGACTTTATGACGGGCTGGAATGAGTGTGTTTATAAAGTACTTCCATTTTCTTAATTCCTTCATATTAGCTAGTTTTGTAACTTGAAAGGCACACTTCTCTTGGTTCTTTGCAGTGAAATACAAAGATTTTCTTAATGAATGTAAAATAAAAGTATTCTACTGATTTAAAAGATTACTACTATATAAAGAATTTTTGTTCCTGTAATTACTATGTTGCTGATGTAGACTCACAATCAAATAAAATAATACTATAACACAAAGAAAACAAAGAATCTATCATAACTTAAGAGCATTTTAAGTTTTTGCTATTAATTAATAATTTACTAATTATTTTTCAGGTCAGATAAAACTCTCCAAGATATTGTATACAAATTAGTTCCAGGGCTTTTCAAAAGTGAGTAACTTGCTTACAAATGAATTTTTACGAAGTATTTCATCAGTTTTACCTGCTATAACAAAAGTTTGTCTTTCTCTTTTTTCTTTTTTTTTTTTTTTTTTTTTTTTTTGCCCTCCCCTCTTTAGATGAAATGAAGAGAAGAAGGGATTTTTATGCGGCTCATCCTTCAGCTGATGGTAAACTCTTTAGAGAGGGAAAAGATACTTTATTTGGAGGGAGGACTTATTCATTAATTGATTAAAATTGAATTAAAGTACCACTTCCATCTTCCTATATATGTAATATTTTAATTATTTAACTTTAAAATTAAATTTGAAAATGTCTTTATAGCTGCCAATGGCTCTAATGAAGATAGAGGAGAAGTTGCAGATGAGGATAAAAGAATTATAACCGATGATGAGATAATAAGCTTATCCATTGAATTCTTTGACCAGAACAGGTAAATTCTGTAGGAAATGTGTTTTATGCTAATCTGCTCATAGATACATTATTCCACTAATAAAGTTATGTTTCTTAGATTGGATCGGAAAGTAAACAAAGACAAGGAGAAACCTAAGGAGGAGGTATGTTCCCTATCACAAAAACACAGAGAAACATTGTTTGGATTCTAGATTTTTATGAAGGTGTATGTTGCCCTTTAGAATATAACTAAGGCTGGATGATGCTGTCAAGTAGGAGAAAATGATCATATTTGATGTTTAAGAATGATTTATATCCGATAGTAACTAGATAGAATTTATATATGATTACTGTTCTTAAAAGGTACTTTAAATAATATTTAATGCCTTGATGTATGTAAAGTTTTCTTATTTTATCAGTAATCTGCTTATTTCCTATTTATAATAGTAAACTCAAAGTAGAGAATTTAGTCAATTTCAGTTTTGGTATTCATACGTTTTGTTATATTGAGGCACTCTAATTGAAATTTTTTTCTTACCCAAAAGTTAGGAATTTTAAAAAATAACTTTTCTAAATGTATTTTTAGGTGAATGATAAAAGGTATTTACGTTGCCCAGCAGCAATGACTGTGATGCACCTAAGAAAGTTTCTCAGAAGTAAAATGGACATACCTAATACTTTCCAGGTATCTACTTTATAGTTCTTGTGCATTTAATGTGAAATTTTTTAATTCAATGACTTTTATTTTTGGATTCTGAACCCAAAAAAAGCAGCCTTTTTTTTTTTTTAATTAGCAGTTCATTGGAACTGTCTCTTAAAATGTTTAGTATGAATTTTTTCTTATGCTATGAAAAAGATTCCTTAGTAATTTCAGGAAATATTTTTCCTTATTTAAAGTGTCAAGAGGGATTCTTTCCTTGTCCAGATGTTTGAAGAGAATGTTTTTAAAAGCATTTTTGGATTGCATATAGATGACCAAAAAGAAAATCTCAATTTATCTTTGTTCTTCATGGTACTTAGTAACTGAAATACTATTTTCCAATAGATTGATGTCATGTACGAAGAGGAACCTTTAAAGGATTACTATACACTAATGGATATTGCCTACATTTATACTTGGAGAAGGGTAAGTATTATAGCTGATGCTTGATGATTATCGTGGTAAACTGTATTTAAAGAGGACTAATTTTTTTCCTTCTCACTTTGTAGAATGGTCCCCTTCCTTTGAAATACAGAGTTCGACCTACCTGTAAAAGAATGAAGATGAGTCACCAGAGAGATGGACTGACAAATGCTGGAGAACTGGAAAGTGACTCTGGGAGTGACAAGGCCAACAGCCCCGCAGGAGGCGCTCCCTCCACCTCTTCCTGTCTGCCCAGCCCCAGCACACCCGTTCAGTCTCCTCATCCTCAGTTCCCTCACATCTCCAGCACTATGAATGGAACCAGCAGCAGCCCCAGCGGTAACCACCAATCTTCCTTTGCCAATAGACCTCGAAAATCATCAGTAAATGGGTCGTCAGCAACTTCATCTGGTTGATACCTGAGACTCTTGAGGAAAAAACAATTTTAAAGCCCTGATTTATATAGATATCTTCATGCCGTTACAGCTTTAGAGATGCTAATACATGTGACTGTCGTCCAATTTGCTTTCTTTTGTAGTGACATGAAATTTGGCTATAAAAGATGGACTAGTTGTGATACTCATATGGACGTTAATGGAAGAGAAAGATTGTTCCTATGAAGAATTGGTTTCTGAGAAGGCAGGCAAGATGTTTTTCTGTGTGTTAGGAAAGATGTGAAATGGTTTCTGTAACCATTGTTCATATTTGAAAATACTCTGCAATGGATATAAACATTGGGCCATAGTTTGTTAATCTCAACTAACGCCTACATTACATTCTCCTTGATTGTTCTTGTTATTATGCTGTTTTGTGAACCTGTAGAAAACAAGTGCTTTTTATCTTGAAATTCAACAAACAGAAAGAATATGCATAGAATACCGCATTCTATGTAGCCATGTCACTGTGAATAATGACTTCTTGCATATTTAGCCATTTTGATTCCTGTTTGATTTTTACTTCTCTGTTGCTACACAAAACGGATCAAAGGAAAGTAAACTTCAGTTTTACAATCTGTATGCCTAAAAGCGGGTACTACCGTTTATTTTACTGACTTGTTTAAATGATTCGCTTTTGTAAGAATCAGATGGCATTATGCTTGTTGTACAATGCCATATTGGTATATGACATAACAGGAAACAGTATTGTATGATATATTTATAAATACTATAAAGAAAATATTGTGTTTCATGCATTCAGAAATGGTTGTTAAAATTCTCCCAACTGGTTCGACCTTTGCAGATAACCCTATGTTTGAGCCTTATCAGCATAGAACATTTTTAATGTGGACCTCTAAATCTCAATTCATTTGGAAATCAAAATTCATTTGGAAGCAACTGGCAAATCATGATACTGATTTTTCTCTAGTAATACGTATACTTTTCAAATGAATTGTTGTAGTAAAGAAAAACTTTTAACTAAAGACTTTGGAAACGGTGTCTTCATTTCCCATTGCTTTTGATGGAATGAATGTGTTTTTAAAATGCGTATTGATCACTATAGTTCTAAAACAAATTTTTAAGTAAACCAGAAAATTGCTGGAAGAAGGCATTTTATCTAAAATTATTTTAACATGTGGTTTAGCAGTTACTTCAAATTTATTAATTGCTTTTACAGTTATAAACAATGATATATACCCTCTCTCTAATGTCTTGAAATAAAAGCAATTTATTTTTAGCTTCTCCAGGTATTTTTAAATAGAGTGAACATGTTGAATTTAAAATAATGAAAAACCATAACCGTTTTCAGTTTGTGTTTTGCTTTGGTCGAACTTGGTGTGTGTTCATCACCCATCAGTTATTTGTGAGGGTGTTTATTCTATATGAATATCGTTTCATGTTTGTATGGGAAAACTGTAGCTGAACACTTCATTGTTCCCAGTCTGCAAAAGAAGCACAATTCTATTGCTTTGTCTTGCTTATAGTCATTAAATCATTACTTTTACATATATTACTGTTATTTCTGTTTTCTTTAAAGATACAGTAAATGAAGTTTTATGAAACCACAAAATACATATATTTTTATTTTGACCTAAATTTGTACAGTACCATTGTAAGTGTTGTTTCTAATTATAGATGTAAAATTAAATTTCATTTGTAATTGGGAAAAATCCAATAAAAAAAGGATATTCATTTAGAAAATAGCTAAGACTTTAATAAAAATTTGATATGAAAAGCACAATGTGCAGAAGTTTTGGAAAACCTGTGGATTACAACAGGTAAAACTAAAGAGAATCCATTGCTGTCTTAAATAGTGATGTTGCTAAGAAGTCCATGCTTTGTTGTATAATTGCTTGAAAGCCCAATTGAAAGATGTATCTGTTTATTTACTCTACAATCTTTGAAGTAAAAGTTACCCATGTTTGCCAATTTTGGTGAATTTAACTCATTTTTCTAGGCTTCTCAAGTTTTTCATGATGTTATCTAAGAAAGAAAACTTAGTTAATGGAAGTTTCAAATGATACTTTTACTTTGGATGGTCATGTATATAAAGAATGAAAAAATATTTTTCAAAAACTAAAAACTTCAAATGCTAGTGGACCTGTCACTTGACTTACACAAAACCAAGTTGTAAGAACTAAAAGACTTTACAACTCAACCTTTTTATGATGGACTTATTTTTTAAATTACTTATTAAAAATCAGCTCTTAAATTTATGGCTTACTTAACACTGTTTTACCATACTTGAAAACATGCATTTATTTTGTTTGAAAGGATTTTTTTCCCTACTCCATTTGAAAATTTCTTAAGCGTTACTGGGTATTTCAGCTAAAATGTCTGTGTTTTAATAAAACAGAAGAAAAATTATGTTTTGCATTCTCCCATAACCAGCTTTCACAGTTGTGACTATTAAGTTTTAAAACTTTTGCTAAGCTACCACTTTAAGAACCTTCAATCTTACAATAACCAATATCAAAGTTGCTAACTTTGTAACTCTTAGCAGTAAAGGCAGGGTAATCTGAAAAGTCGGCTTTAAATTTGGCTTTTGCTTCTGAAAAGTATTCTAGGGTTATATATCTCAAAGTTAGTACTTAAAAAATATTCCACAGAAAATGCCTAAATTGATTTCACAGATTTCAGTTTAAATGCAAAAGGAGAATGAGGCTGGTTACTGTTGTGTAAATAGCGATCTATCTTGCTTTACACATGCATACCACTTTCCAAGTACTTTTTGCTTTTAAAATTGCCGGCCGTTAATTGCACTGAGTGGGGGGGGGGGGGGAAAGCTGCCCTACGGTTGACTTAACCTACCAACCATATTGCTTTGTTTCCATATTCATACGTGCAAACGTTAGGATTTCTGGAGGTACAATGCGACTTTCCTACATCCTTTCCTCTTACTCTTTTCCCAATATTTGGAGTTTGAGTAAACACATGGTATAGGCCTATCTAGATCAAGTTTTATTGTGAAATCTAAGAACCCATGTGAAATACTACTTTCCACTGGCCAATAAGAAATGAAGATGTTCGGCTTTTTAAAAGTAGCTTATGGACATCTTTTGAGGGGACAGAATCTTAATTTTAGAAACAATCTGCACATGGGACCTAGTCTCAGAATCGTGGGGTGATGGAAGTAGGGTTTTTCCCCCGTTTCCTTTATATTTTAAAGGTCTGGTAGATACATTTTTCCCCCCTCATTTTCCCTGGAATGATAGTTGGGAATTCTGATTTAGTCTAGTTCTTCTATAAAATGGAGGTTACATCATATCCTGAAATACTGTGGTTGTTCCCTCATACAGTCTTTTTGCATTCTATCCAAAGCTAAGGTCTTGATGCAATTACATTTAAGATGATCCCATTTAACACTTTAAAGACACTTGATGTGAAACGACAGAAGGCAGCTCCAGCATGAGGCTTTTGGGTTAGATAGCATCATTTCACTTGAGGATGTTTCTTCAAGTATAAAATAGCACAACAGGTGGTTATTTTTAAGATGGCTCTAAAAAATTCTGACTCCTTCCAAATAAAACCTTGTATTAAACTGGGACCACAGATTTCAGATGGACAGGTCTTTTATAAGAAAGAGAAAGTAGTACATATTAGAACCTCCTAATAAGTCGGATTTGGGAAATACTCCCGCGAATACCTTGAGCCTGTGGATCTCCTTGCAAATCTCAAAATCGCCCAGTTTTGATTATGAAAGTCTCCAAAAATGTTTACACAGTCGAGTGTTTCCTGTTTCCGCAGTTAATTTTTTTTAACGTTTTTTTCTTCTTTTGGTTCTTGAAACGGATTTCCTTTATTTGCACCAGTTTCTTTTTCTTAGTGTGCAATTTCTAGAGTTCTCACATGAAGACTTCACTGCCAGCCCTGTCTTCATCAAGTCGACGACGTCAAAACTCAGTCATCACTGCAAAGAGGCTATTTCTAGGATCCTTGTGAGTTTCCTGAAGAAGTTCAAGCGCATGTGGAAAACTCATCCCGACATCTCATTTAACCCTCCAAATATAGTAAGCACTCAATAAAACTTCCACTGGGTTAAATTACTCCCATTCTTCTGGACTCCTAAGAATATTATCCTCCAGAGACTTCTCAGAGAGAATTTTGAAAAATAGCAGGTGTCGTTCCCTTAGAGTCGCCCATATTTCAGTAAAAATACTACTTCTTGCTCTGATTCTGGAGTCATCACAAAGTCCAAACTGCACAGAGGACGTGGTTTCAGGTTCGGTGCCGATTTGGTGCCCTCCATCCCGTCCCCCCCACTAAGTTAGCTAACAGCCTGGAAGGCTGCGGACCAGGGCACCCGGGAAACGCGTCGAAAACTGAGATGGAAGGCATGGGGACGCTGCCGAGATAAAGACGTTACTGGAGACAGAGGAGTCTGTCCAGGATCCGGGATCCACAGTGTTTGGAATAAATGCCCCCAAGAGTAGACGATACTCAAGCCGAAGACGGGAGCGCGCGGCGCAGTTGGAAGGAAAAAAAATTTTTTTGAAAAAGCGGGGGCGAGGGTGATTAGGGTGGAAAGAGCCACAGCTGAAAAAAAAAAAAAAAGAGAGAGAGAGAGAGAAGGAAGGAAGGAAGAAAAATGAAAGAAAAAAAAGGCAAGCAAGCAAAGCCTTCTCCTACTCTGGCGCCCGGTGGAAAGGGCACAGGACGACCGCCTGGAGAAATGACCTCCCTTGCACGGCCGCGCTGGCTTCCCGGTCAGGGAGTCTTCCCCACAAGGACACATTGAGGAGGAAGCTGCCATTCTCCCGGTCCTTGTTGTCTAGCCAGCGGCCCTCGGCGCGGGGCGGGCGCGGCGGCTCAGACCCCGGGGACCGCGCGCCGCCGGGGCTCCGCCAGGCCCTACGCGCGGGCCCAGCCGCAGGGCGCCGGGAGGCCATTTTGCGCGTGCGCCGCTTGCCTCGCGCCGCCCTGGGTTCGGCCGATTCGGATCCCGCCAAATTTGAAAGCGAGATTCTCAGGCCCCGCTGGCTGGGGACGCGGCGAAAAAAAGAAGTCGTTTCTCCAAAGTCGGAACCTGTGGCGAGGCGGGGGGTGGGGGGCGGCGACAGCCGGGTGCGCGCGCCTCCCGAGGCGGCCGCCTCCCTGACGAGGGCTGGCCCACCCGGCGAGACCTCCGCAGCCTGCCGCGCGGCGGAGGCGCGGAGACCCGGCCTCGGGCCTCGAGCTCGGCGCGGGCGGAAAGGCGGCCCACGTCCGGGGAGGCCGCGGCGTCGCCCGCCGAGCCCGCAGACGCTCGTCCGTGCGTTGCACCCCCTCCTCCTCCCGCTTCAAATGCTACGCCCTTTCTCCTTCAAGAAAGGGGTGTCCTTGCAATTGGAGCTTTTATTGGATAGATCGCGAACTCCGTTACTAACAAAACATCAAGCTGCCATCTTGAAGGTTCCCGAAGGCCGCGCTTCGAGGGCGGTGACTGGGAAGGCGGGTGGGAGAGGGTCCTCCGGATGGGCCCGAGTCCCCTGGGGCTTAGTCGGTGACGCTGCCCAGGGCAGGGGTGGCTTCGCGGGAGGAATCTCGAGGTCTGGGCACAGGCCCACACGTGGGGCCCAAAGGCGACGCCTAACCAGGCCTGGGGGCCAGGCGACCCTGGGAGGCCGGAGACTGGAGGCCGCCGCCCCGCGCCCTCGCGCCCCCGGCCGGGGAGAGCGTGGCGGCCCGACGCTGGGATGTCGCCTCCGAAAGACGCTGGCTCGCCGCCGCCGGTTCCCGACAGAGCCTGCGCCCGCCGGGTGCCCGCGGCGCGAGCGCTCCCCTGACCTGGGACCCCGCGGGCGCCCCGAAAACCGGGAGAGAAAGGAACGGCTCAGGAAGGGGAGTCGGGGCAACGGCGGAGAAGTGAAAGCGGCCTAAAATGGGCGACGCCGGGCGAGTCCTCTTTATCAGCGCGGCAGACTGCAGGAGCCGCCATTTGGTGGCGGATTTTGGTATTTCAGTAGCACGTTGTGCTGAACGTCACAACTGGCTTGTATACGTGGCAGGGTCACTCTTCCACCGCGGTTTTTAGAGATGCCAAGTGTCCCCCAACCCTCCCCCGTGGGGGCGCCGGCCCCCCTCGGCCACTCCCGGTGGGCCGCTCCGCGCGCCCCGGGACCCAGGGCGGGGACGTCTCCTCGCGCGCGGCGACGGCGGCCGCAGCGAAGCGGCGCGGGGCCCGGCGCACACCTCAGCGCGGCGTTTGCCTCCCCGTTTTTCGGAGACCGGGGCGCTGGCGAGCCCGCAGCGCTCCGCGTCTCCCGGCGGAGAATGCCACTGCCCTGCGGCCGTGACGGGCGTGGTCTTCCCGCCGACCCGCAGCCCTGCCGGGTAGCGCGCCTCACACCTCGCGGCGTGAGGAGCTCCGCCCAGGGAAGGAACCCCCCGACGAGAGGCGGCCCCTCAGGGAAGGTCGGGTTAGCATCCCGCGCTCGCGCTCCCAGCCCGGCCCGGCGCCCTTCGGGGACCGGGGACGCTGGACAGAGGCGCAGAGCGCTGGGAGGCCTGGCGTCCCACCCGGGGTGGC